AAAGAATGAAGGGGTGGTCAAAGGAATGGAATGATAAAGTAAGGAAGGGTAGTAGTAAGAGTCAGCACACATATAGTCTATAGACAGCACCCCTGAGGGACAGAAGTCCTGAGTTCCAGTACAGAAGAGTGTGGAACCCTTGGAACTGAAAGTATGAGAGTAGAGAATCATAACAGGTGACACTTTTCTTATATCTGTCATACTACAATATTATATATAATACTCTTTGTTACAGACTATAACAAAGAGTATTATACACAATTAACAATCTGTTATATTCACAATCTTACATTTCCTATAATATTATTAATATACTCAACTATTTTATCAACTACCTAAATAGTAAATCCAACCTAGATTATAGAACTAAAGATGTTTGTATAGTAATTGATTTGCTCTATATTTTGTTACACTTGTGTAACATTAATACTAGCCTGGCTTTTAACATTTATTACTTTAAGGTACAAATGTACAGTCCTTATAATAACTAAGTACAGTTTAAATAGTACAGAAAGATATAAGAACACTATAATTTGATTAGCTTAAATACTAGACTAGTATAGATTAAATACACTTTTACTGTCCTTACATCTGCTTAGTAAGTACTACACCTTAATATTAACAATACTAATATAAGGGTTCAGGATTAGCATTTTGTACAATTTAAAAATGTGTATTCTAAGTACTACAGATTTGTTTTTTGAACAGTTGTAAATATAGTAAGTTAAAAGAATAAAAAATGTAACAAACAGAAAATAAATACAATAAAGGTAAATGTACATACTCACAATGTTAAAATGTTATCTTAACCATCCTTACTAACTTTAGTAGCCCTTATAACTTGATTTCCTAATTTAATTTCAAGGTACAGCTTGTTTGACTTTACTCTATATTAGACACTTATAAGATGTTTGACTAAATAGTAGTGTTAGGAAAGATTTAATAAACTGAGCAGAAGACAAACCTTTAAGAGAATAGTGGGTCAAATTAGACATAGTAGTAGAAAGGAGTCAAGTGTAGAACTGTCTTGTCTATAAACTCAGAACTAGTTTAAGCATGTTATACTAGAGAGGCTATATACAGGTGTTAATAAAGAGTAATAGTCAGTTGTATTTCAAGTACCTAGTGTATAGAATTATACCTACTGAATTTCCTAAATTATCCTTCCTACAAACATTCAAATAGGAACACAGACATTTGGAGAGTGTATACAGTAGGACAGGTACATTGTAAAAGTAGGAATAACTAAAAAATTGCACAAATTGACTGTATTTTTGTTAGTATCTGTATACTAATTAGAGAAGCCACAGTCTTAAGAATTGAGAATTGCATACTTTGCACCACCAAGTACACTTATATGGAAGAGACAAAGTTCCAAGATAATATAATGTGGTCCTGCAGCTTCCATTTCCTAGTAAGAACTACTAAGAACTTTACAGAAGTTGTAAGAACCTCCTTCTCTACAGAATGTCCCCACAACAATTTTAATACCTATATAGAGTATCAAACAAGATTGTACTGGAATAGTATCTGAAAGTAGAGAGTGTGCAGCAGCCAAATGCATCTTTTTATCCTATTATATAATACTTTATTTGTAATCATCGACGTTTGCTGTGCCAAGTGCTTCACTTTTTTGTCCAATTTACGGATTGCAGTCCTTACATGTCCTCTGCTCGGTCTGTCGCACGCACATACGTAGACTGGAATCGGATTCCTATATCTCTACTCGACATCACGCTTATACAAGCGCGGCAAACTGGACTATCTACTTCTAGAGCAACGGCGAGAACAAGGAGCTATGCGACTGCGTCCTCTAGACGAAACGCACATGCGCAGGCACAGGCGGTCGTGACAAAAGCGCCTCCAGCATTGCGTGGGGCGTATCTGAAGCCAACCTTTTCTGTGGAGGAGAGGATGGAAGCTAAAAAAAATACGAAAGGAAATGATTCAAGAAATGGACAATTCGGAGAGAGGCAGCGAGGTCTTGAGCGGTGTGTATTTGATACATAATTGCTGCTTTTCAACAAAATTGAATATGCCCGGTGTCATAGTAAATGGCTCACGATGGGTATGGCGGATGCAGAAAGGGTAAGGCGTCCTATGTCTGGACCACCTACAAGTGCCGCTGCCGCGAATTTGCATGAACGCGTGGATGCACTGATAAATCGGTCGAGAGCTGAGGTACGTTCCTTTTCAGTAACTGTTCTTGTTGTTGAGATTATTAACCATTCATCGATGTGAACCGCTCCTCTTTAAAAACCATGCTCAGATTTCCGCGCGGGCAGCGAAAGAAGAAACTCAAGCAGAAGAGCTGTCCCTGCACTATGATGATGGTGTCTTGCTACAGATGTACGCAGACCTCCTCACGCATCCCAAAGGCAAACCGAAAGATCGGTCAAAGACTGTTGCCAGTGCGGAGAGAAAGAAGTTGCTACAGTCTGTTGCGAATCGATTGGTAGTCGCGAGTGGTACGAGCTGTAATACGTCTATGAACGAGGAAGTTGAGGTAGCCTCTTCTCCGACTCTTGCGAGCCGACTTGCTGCACGAAGAGGGTTGTCTTTGCAACTAAAGGACGATGGTTCCTCAGAACAAGACTTCTTAGATGTCCCGCAGTCACAACTTGATCCTCAGAAGCTGCATCATGGCATCCTTTTGCGATTTATAGACGTCGTACGTGAAATGGAGCGTGCCCAGAAAGTTGTAGGGAAGTCAACAACGATGTCCGTCGCTGTGCTTTCTTCGCGAGAATGGAATGCTCTCGTTCATACCGCCGTTCGTTTCACTTGCGAAATCTCACTAGATTCTCACTGACACTAAATAAATTCATAGATTGAGCTAAACGAGATAGACCTTGCGGAGCGCGCTCTTTTACTCATGAAGGTGAGATAGTCATTCAGGAAAATAACAATTTGTGTAAAATTAACGGAGCCTGTCTAGCGGTGCGAGATGGAGCCGACTGAGGATCTCGTCAACGACGTAATGAGCGTACACGCGTCAAACGGCGACGTGCCTGCCGTCGCATCGCTTTTCGAGAAACTTGCTATCGGTGCGTACCCACTAGTACGCATGCACCTTGTTCTCGTGACTAACGTCTGCTCTCAGGCAAGCCGACGGCGCGCCAGCGGGATTTGCACATCAAGGCGCATATGAAGACTTCTTCATCCGATTATGGCAATATCCAATCCGCCCTGCATACCCTCCACAATTACGAAGCTCTCGCCCTGCTCCCACCTGTAGAGTCCTACACACGCCTCATTTCCGCGCTCTTCTCTACATGCTCGGCGCAGCTCAGGGCGCACGCGTGGGATCTCTTCTCGCACATGCGATATGTTGCCCACGCGAAGCCCGATCCTGCACTGTACGCGCTCATGATCCGCGCATGCGCAGGCACGGGGTTCTCGCACTCCGGATATGTTGCCGATCCTGCGCGTGCTTTAGATCTTTGGACGGAGATGACGACTGAGGCGGGATATAAACCGGATGTGGGCGCGTATAATGCGGTGATATTGGCATGTGCGAGGGTAAAAGAGTATGCGGCAGACGCATTCCGGCTTGCGCGAGAGATGCTTGACGGACATCGTGATGCGTATGGGGATCCGTTAATGCATGCCACGCAAGAGACGTTCAATGCACTCCTTGTTGCTGCGAAGACAAGGAAGGATTTAGCGCGCGCACGGTGGATCCTTGCAGAGATGATAAAGATCTACAACCAGTGTATGCGCGAAGGGCGCGATAATGATGTTGCGCCTGATACGGAAAGCGTTATGCATGTTTTTCATGCATACGCTTCGTTTATACCATCGCAGCGGCGTAGTGAGCTCAATGTCATTGACGAGAGCGAGGTTAAGGCCGTAGCAGAAGTCAGTGCTAACGGTCAGGCTGAACAAGACCCTCCTCATGAGGAGGACGACAAAGCACCTGTACCAGCCAGGGCACCTTTCAGCATATCACCTCCACAAACTCGACAAGAAGTCCTTGCAGAGGCAGACGCTCTCTTCGAGCGTATACTCGAAGAAAAAGGAGCAGAGGCCTCAGCTTCACGCTCTGAAGAGAAGAAGAAATCAAAGCCGGGGCCGTTCTCATCTGTCTTGCTCCAACCAAAATTGCTAAACTCGTATTTGTGCGTGTATTATATGCATGGGTCCTTGGAGGACTCGAGGAGACTTTATGAGGAGGTATATAGACGGACGGGCGTCGAGCGTTCCCCGAGGACGTACGTCGAAGCTCTGGACCGGTGTGCTAGGGCGAAAAAGGATGAGCGAGACCTTGCGAGAAGCTTTGCGGAGAGTATCTGGATCGAGTGGCTTGAGGTTGAGAAGGGACTTAACCCGAACTCGACAGACGCTCGACAGATTGAACGTGCTCACGCCGCTATGATTCGAGTGTATGCTCTGTAAGATACCCCTTCTTTCAACGTCGTATCAGTCTAAGAGACTGATCACATTTCATCTGACATTTTTATATGCATAGCGTTAATGACCTCGACCGCGCAATGCAACTTGTCCGCTCCTTCGAAACGATCTATACCCCACGTGCAGTCGCCTCACCCGCACTCTCACCTTCCTACCACGAAAAAAATAACCGCCGACTTAAGTCTGCCTCTTCACTACTCGTCGCCAAACGGCCTCTCGTGCGTCTAACCACCACAACAGAAGTACAAGATGACACAGTTCCCCCTCTACTCACTCCCCGCGATTTGGAACTCCTACACCACCGCCTTGTAGTAGCGGCGGCGGGTGCTTCTGGTAGGGATAGGAAAGCGGATATTGATTTCCTCACGTATTTGGGTAATGCGTACATGGGTTCGTTGAGGAAACGACGAGATCGGACTATTCAGGCGAAAAATTGATCTTGGTCTATCGTTATGGGTGTTCTTGCTATCGATCTATTTCATCGGTCTGTGGTCTAAACAGACATACCTATGCATTTTGGGAGATATTCATATAGCTTTGTTATTAGATTATAATATCGACTACGACCTTCTTAAGATCCCTTATTTTAATGCCACTGCATGTTGACGTACATACAATGACGATCACTTTTCACAAGACTTACGTTTCAAAGGCCTACGTTTCAAGGAGAACAAGGGCCACATTGTGTACTGTCATGGAATCTGCTGAATATGAAGCTTGTTCACTCTCCCGGGTGAGAGGGGGGGCGCGGGGGAAGGGGTTTTCAGCTTGCAACTAAACATCCCAGCTCTTTGACATTCTTGACTTCTACGCCAACTGAAAAAGGGGGCGGGAGGGTGAATTATCTACCTTTCTCCGTACTCTCCCAGCTCTAGGGATGAAGCATACTCGCTATTCGGAACAGCACAAGAATTGAAGAAAGGGTTATTTACGAGTACATGGCTATGGTATTCTATTTTCTTTGGAGAGGCTCGTTGGTTAGTAAGCCCGCTCGCAAGAGCGCATCAGTATTCATACACAATCTTCGAATTCCTCTTCCTTGCTTCATGCGCGGAGGAAGGAAAGAAAAGAAGGCGGAGAAAATATTTTCTTTTGCTTCCATTCGATTACGGCTTTATGCGGATTGCGGTCTCTCAAGACTCATAATCGAGGTCCCTCGCTCGTGGGAAACGAGTATACGGCCCATACGGTTGACGGTATATACTATAAACGAGGATTTAGAATACCATGGTATTGGATTCCTTCCACTCCCCTGTCTAATGTCCGTAAAACACGGTATTGGGTCTTGGGTCGCAGGATTTCGGGGCATCAGTAGCTTCGGTATGGTATGCATAATATGGTATTAATAATTCATTTTCCTAGGAGTCACTAAGGCGGAATCATAAGCCATATGTTCAGTACCTTCTCGCTCGTTCACAGCTCGCTCGACCACGTTGAAGAGGAACGTAGCTCCACAATTACGGATTCTAGAGACGGATAAAGCCGTGCCACGTTCAAGTTCAAACTTCGCCATCCCCTTCCTCCCCTTTATTTCGTACCTGATTACTAACAACCACCCTCCCCTCTCAAAATAACTTCTTCAGACAGAGTCGGTGATGAGATGAGATGCAGGGGTGGGGAGTCTTATTGTGCCTGAGCGCACGAAGGAACCCATGTCCGTGTGTTGTTTTGGGGGGGCCTGGCCACCTACTTATTCACCTTGCCGCGATGAATTGAATTGAAAATAGCTCTGAGCGGCACAAACAGTTGCATGGAGGTTATGGAACCTCTTTAGGCTAAGAACGGGCGGAGCTTCCTCCTTCTAGAGTGCTTGATGATTCTCGGTTGTTCTAGGCATATTTTTGAATTTCTTATTTGTATTTCCCTTTTGCTGTTATGTTAAGAGTCAAGCTCACGATTACACATCTGCATATTTTTGAGAAACGGAGGCGAATAACATTGAGCTAAGCACAATTCTGAATGTATCACCGAGACGAAAAGTATTATCTATACAACAACAGCATCACTACCACCAAAGAGACCATGAAATCAGAACCAGTGCAACACAAACGACCTTTTTTATGCTAGTAAAAGAGAAGAGAACCAAAATGTGGCTAAGGAGCAAATGAGTTTCCTCTTAAGTATAAAGTCAAAAGAAACAAGAAAGCCAGAAGTATGTTGCATGCATGTACAAATTAATTGTGGGGTCATTGATAAAAGAACGTTTGAGACAAAATCACTAAACTACTACAGCAGACAAACAAATAGGCAGACACAGATACAAGACAAGTTGCATTAACAGCTTTGCAATTGATAGATGGACGAGGAGAAAAGTACAACAACTTGATATTCAGGTACACTAGAAACCAAAAAGAAAAAGGAGAAGTTAGCAATGCAAGAATGTATGCGCGCGTATAAACAGATGGGAAGAAATAAGGAAAGAATAAGAGAGGAAGGTGGCGTGCGGGAGAGAAAATCGCAGAGTAACTACCGTTGGGAAATGCCAAGCATAAAAAATGAATTGAAGGAATGCGTCTTGCCGATCCGGCGGGTGTGGAACGCGACGTTCAAGTGAAGAAGTAAATGAGGGGAATAGGGAATACGAAGGATCCCGACTTCGCTGTGTAAGGAAGAGAAAAGGAAGGGAAGAGGGAGGAATACATGCGTTCAGAATAAGCGTAATAACAATTACACATCACGGCATCAAAGAGAGGGGCTGGGGTTAACGAGCATAATACAGGTCTCAACCTCCGTAATCTCCTTCAGCATCCGCATACGCTTCAGGGGACGGATGTCGCACGAGACACACCCACACCATCCCACACGGCGCACATTCCACGCTTCCTTCTCTGATGCGCCATGAATATCCTGAACGAACACCCTCATTTGGTAACATATAGAATAAATGCATACACATATGCGGAACTTGTACATTGGAGGAGTGAGAAAGAAAGAGGAGAGAAAAAACCGTGATCATGAAAAAAGAGGGGAGGGAGAAGTAGTAGGGATGTAGGAATGAAAAAGAATGTGTGTAAATTCAGGTTGATGCTCACCGTACAGGTATACAAATGCAGGAAACGAAGGAGAAACGAGCACGTGTCATGTTCGGCTGTCGTGCCTCTCTAATGTGTCTTGAGAGCCGACATCCGAGCCATATAGGGATGGTGGGAGCGGTACTCGTGATGGTTGTAGAAGAGGGTAAGCAAATGTACTCAATCCGGCTGGAGAGGTGGGTTTAGGAGTAAGATCAGGTGATGAAGTAGAGGAGAGTAAACGCGAGGAAGAAGGAACGGTAAGAGATGGAAGTGAAGTGGACGTGGAGAGGGTGGGAGGTGAGACGCTCGAGGCAGCAGCGTCTTCAAATTTGGGTGTCGTTCCTGGTGGAGCTGACATCGAAGTCGCACTAGAGGATGCCAATGAATATGGCGTGTACGAGGATGAAGCTGCTGTGCCTGAAGGCTCGCTCAATCTAGAACTCCTCGAGTTGCCGGATGTTCCGAATGTCCGGGAGGTCACACTCTCCTCACGCATTTGACCATCAAAGGCGTGCGGAGGCCGATCGTCTACGTCTGCATCAGCGAATTCGAGACTAAGCATCGGATCGCTCTCCTCAGATGAGGGTGTCTCGACGGGTAATGGCCCAACGATACCACCATTTAGATTCCGCTCTTCCCTTAAACCATCAGACCCGAAAAGTGAGATGCGCATGTCCTCATCGGGAGGAGTAGGCGGCGGCCGATCTGCGTAACTAGTGCTCGTATTGTTCGAGGACGTCCTCTGCAGATCGAGTGCCGCACCCGGCAGAGAAATCATCGGAGGAAGAGTGGACGCGATGGCGACGGGCATGCCAGCGCGATTCACTGACATACCGGGCGACGTAGGTTGCTCGGTTCGATTTTCGTCCGCATTGTACGGCGGTGGAGATACCGGCAACGATCCGGGGAAGTATCGGGGAACGAACGGGGCGGGTTGTGCCTGCGACATGACTGGTTCTTCTTCTGGACTGTACTCGCCGTGATCTTGCGCCGTGAAAACCTGCGCAAAAGTTGAACGGTGTCGTCGTTCGCGTAACGCGGCGCGTCGGCGCCGACATCGGATTGAAATGCAAAGCCCTATTGCCAAACATGACAAAAGACCGAAGGAGCCTCCCACTGCGCCAGCAAACGTCGCTACATTGTGTTTGTTTGCGGTACTGGATATTGTAGCAGTCGGTGAAGGGGTATACAGAGGATAAGATGAAGACATCGTCAGTTCACGTCCACAGATGCAAGATGATAAGTGGGAGACGTGAAAAGGTCAAAAGAGGAAGAAGAGAGATGTAGGGATTGAAGCGCAGTTGATAACGGAGAAAGTATCAATACAATGACGCTTAAGTGGCCCCTTTCTCTCAGCCATCCAATCCCCTGCAGCTACTTTCCGAGATTGAGGCGTCCCCAAATCACTTCTTCAAACCGAAAGTAATCCCAAAAAGGAAAGCACATGATCGACGGCCAATCATAGGACATGCAGTCCTCACTGGATTGGTCGCGGCAGAAACGCTGAAAGACGAGAACGGAAAGTAAAAGATGCAAGACTCACGCGTTCGTAGCGGAACCGGCTGTGCGCTGGCTATCCGGCGCATCGGTAGTGACACTACCACCGGGAATCGTGGGATCGGACGCCCCTGCCGTGTACATCACATAGTCAAGTAAGAACACGCTATCCACACCAACATTTACGATGAGTGAATGGGCTGTATCTTCCAGACCCGCGACGCTGAATACATTCACGTTTGACTGGAATTTATCGGATGCTGAGCTGTTTACCGTTGGGGTCCCTGTTGCTGTAGGATCTGGCCGGAAGGTAAACGAGCCATGCGGCGAGCCATCCAAAGTGAAACTCAAGTTCGTAAACGTAGGCGTAGTATTTGGCGGAGCCGGGAACAGAGGCAAAACCGCGAATATGTATATCGCCGTGCCTGAAGTTTGAAGGGAAATTGTCGGACGTTAGCGATCGACCAATGGAAAGTACAAAAATGTGAGTGTATGCATTGATTAAGCACAACTTACCAGTGAAGTTTAGACTTGCAGTAACGGGAACGTCTTGGAATCCCGGGTCATCGGAATCCGAGCTCTGGACCTCGAAGGGATTCTCTCCATCGCGTTTAGTTTCAAGACTGCTGGCAGTCAACCATCTTGATTTTACACTATAGAAAGGAGATGTGACAGAGTATCAGATTAGTGGAAGAGGAAACAGTAAAGAAAGAATTCCATACGATCGGTTAAATCGTCTCAATCGCCTCTTTCCGTCTCCATCCTTTCCCGATCCTCCACCCTTTCCACCACCTTTATCACCGTCATCACCATCATGATCGTCGTCGTCATTGTCCTGAGCTGCATTCGTCTGTGCTGGCTGTACACTTGACGCTGTGGGGGGTGGCGGCGGTGGTGGTGCTGAAGTACTAGTCGTCGACTGCGGAGATGCGGATGTGCTCTTGCCATCCCCGTCTTGGTCTCCCACGGTACCTTCATCGTCCTCATCGGTGGTAGGCACGATATGGGTACCATCGTGCCATGTTCCGCTATGCGCCAACGTACTCGGTGGAGCAAGACATGTGTCGCATTCTACCGTACTTGCGTGCCATGATGTAGCGGGAGCATACAAGATGAACAAATCCGTATCATCAAGTGTAACATTTTGCTATCACAACAGTCAAAAAAACCACACAAATAAAGGGGGAAAGATAGTAAAGAGACTGCATACCTGCGCAGCCGCCGAGTTAGCGATTACTACTAAGTACAGTAGAGTCAATAGTAATCGTAGTCGCGAACGATCACGAGCGTGTGTAGTTCGTTGATAAGACCGGAACATCCTTAATAGTCGGACTGGAACGAGTAACTAGCCTAGCCTAACGTTGTAGATAGCCGACTTGTAGAATGTCAAGACAATGATGTGGCCGCCCTCCAGATGGAAGGGTATACAGGCTATCAGTCGAGAATCTATGGGGACGGGGGATGGCCGCCTGAAGAGAAGAAACTCGTGAAGTGTGGAGTTTTGAGGCCAAAAGACGTGGGAGCCTACCGCAGGAACAGCCACGGGAGACGTAAGGGAAATAGCGAGAAGAGGGGACAGCCCACTGGAGGGGTACGAGGCTTGAGAGACTTGAGGGAGCAAGGTTGAAGGGCCGACCAACCAGGACAGATCTTATTCTAGACTAATAGGATCGCAGGCAGGGTTTAAATAATACATAATTGATGTCCACGCATGCGCATTGCTAGGCTTGGTAGTGCCGCTAATGGAGAAAACCCACGGCAATACTTTCCACGAGAGACGGAAAGACGTGGATCTGGTTTTCCTTCAGATTCCGGAAGAAGGCCCTAACATCAGCTTCATATCCATCCAATAATGATGCGGCTGGATTGATTGCAGAGAAAACCGCTCTAGCGTGTACACCGAGCGAGAAAAGACAGAGCCATCGGCCTCCTTCTAAAGCGCTCACTCGACCCATTGGACCGGGGTGCAGAGTGAGAGGACGGCGGAGGCAGTTGCCTGGAATCCGCAACAGCTGGGTTTGCCTTTCCAAAACCATGGTATGCACGCAGGCACTCCAAGCAGTGCAGGAGAAAAGCCAAATAAAACCCGTCAGTAGACACGGTCTGGGGAACGGTGTGAGCGAAAGTGCAGCGGCCGCGCCAGAACAGGCAGCGAAGAGTAACGTGACCCCGCATCTTCCAACACGCTTCTTGTCCAATAGCGCCCATCCTCAATCGTCAGCTCTGCCTGCCCTGCATTCCCTTTATTCATCCTCTTATTCGCCTATACTCTCGTGAACTTGTCCGAGTCATCGTCTGTACGGATACACACCCCTTGTTCCGACTGAAAACCGCAGTCCTTACTGACCACTAAAGTTTGATATTGTTCTCTGGGGAGACTTCTGTTAACTTGCTTATGAGTGCACTTGCACGCTTTACTCGACCCGTCGATGGCACAATTCCGGTTCCGGCCCTTCTGTACGACGACGAGCGCCTTCTTGCGAGCCAAGAAGGCGTTGGTCTATATGACGGGTGAGCCAATGCTCCACTCCATGAACATCAAGCTCCCACTCTTCCTTCGACAATGGCGCTGTTCAGATGCGACTGCACTTTCTCACCCCACATCAGCCCTTGTCGATATTTCACCGTTTGAACTAGCGCGAACCATGTCTATCATTGAGCATATGCTACGCATTCCTATTGCTTAAGATGATTTTCTTGCGGTATCGGCTCGCCTTGGCATATACCTTAATCGCCAACTTTTGCCCGTAGCATGCTGCCAATCTAAGGATTGCGTTTCAGAGGCAATCGCGGGTCCGTTGACTCCTGTGGCGCTCTTGACGCTACAGTAAACGTAGATCCGGGACTTGCGCGAGCATTATCCTTCTATTTCTCCCGAGGTTTTTTCTCGACCTATTCGCTCTGCGGAGTAGGTTATGGTATGGTCGTCGGATCTCCTCTAGTCCGCTTATCCGACGAATTTCCCGAATTTATGACGTTGCAGGGCGTCAACAATTGCTGTAGCAAACCTCAAGGTCATCACTCACAAGCGGGAATCCTACAGGCTGTTGCCAAGGTCCCAACCACCTTCATGATTGAATTGAGACATGGGAAGTCGCTATTGAATCACTAGTATAAGGACTTTTTGACTTCGCACACCTGATATGCAGTAGCTCGGTGGTTTTCTTCAACGGATTTACTCTCCCTCACTTCATTCATTCGTTTTTCCTTTCCCGTGTTCCGAAGGAGTTTCATCAAGTTAACTGACAGTATTGTCCTATAGCCCGAACAAATCACCCGCGCACCAGTCCGGTACAGTCCATATCACATCTCACCGACTTTTCTTCATAGCCGGTGCTGTCTCCTCTTCCCCACTGCACGCACCGCCACCAAATGTCGAACTCGGCGCTTCTGTCTCACTATCATTGGACACAATTTCGCACACCGAAAGCTACACCGGCTTTTTTAAGAGCTCTCCAAAAGTAACATTACATCTGCGAGCTACTGCAGAGGAAGTTGGCGCAGAAACAAGTTCGGGTCCGAACATACTTGCACCGACTCCTCAAGCCGGCGAAGCTAGCACCAATCCTTATCTCGTACGTCCAGAACAGCCAACCAATGGCACGTCGTCGGCCTCTCCACCAGGAGAAACTGGAGTATCAGAGAGTACCTTTGAATTATGGGAATGTGAGATTTGTGGGTATCGCAATCCACCAGGCCTATCTCCTGCAGCACGAAATTCATGCGGACTATGTGGGATGCCTCGTTCTATCTCATCCTCTGGCACGCCTTCATCATCTACCCCCAAACCCACCGGTTCTTCTGCTTCCTCTAATAATGGATCAAATGCAGACCCATTACCGATGCCTATTCCCAGATCTTCGACCAAAAATACCACTCCATCCCTAAACTCCGCAGCCTCTTATTTGCTCTCTAAATCTCTTCCGGCATCAAGTGCGAATACCCCAGCTCCTTTATCATCATCACCTTCCTTAATATCAGACGGCTTCCGCGAAAGTGAAAGAAGTCAACGGCAAAGACGTAAACCGAGTGCAATAGCATGTGCAGTTTGCACCTTCCTCAACCATCCATATCTACGGGAGTGCGAAATGTGCGGGACACCCTTACCTACAGCGGATAGAACCACCGACCCAATATCTGATCCGGCTTCGAACCATGGTTCAGGAGCCCTGCACGTCACCTCAAAATCGGCGCCGACTTCAAGACCGGTTTCACCGGCTATGGGTGCTACGAGCTCATTGGCAGACGTTGACGAAAGAGAGAGGTATATTAAGTTAAGCTTTCGGAAGGGCGGTGATAAGGCTTTCTACGCTGCGCTAAAAACTGCTTTGCAGCAAAAGGAGTGGGAGGTTCGTTTTATTCTGTCTTCTCCTTTCTCCCTTCCCTTCTATCTTGCTTTTATTGGATAACAATTGAAATGATCTATCTCATGCCCAGGCTCATGTTCAAACTCAGAACGCAGGATGGAAATCCGGGGGTGGATCACAGTCCCACTTACCGTCTGGTCTTTCCGGGATCAGTAAGTTCATATGTCCAATTCAGTGCTAGTCTGACATGTTGCTAATTTCGTCCACTGTCGTCGCCTTGTTTTTTCCCAGGCGGAATCCTACAAAATATCGATACGACTGCTTTACGCACAGAGCGCGGGATGTCAGATGCATTTGAAGATTTAGAGGCGCTCATGTCTAAAGCGCAATATATGGTTCGTCTCGCAAAGGGGTTGAACGAACAGCTCACTGCTGCGTCGAGGAACCCAAACCCAAATAGCAACGGTGTTGAGCCGCTTGAACCTGAAGAAGCGACTTTCGTTCGATCATCCCTAGGTCAACTAGGACTGAATATGAAGAATACTGCAGTGACTGCAGATATGAGTAACGACGAACGAAAGTATCTCGACCAGCTCGCTGCTGAGCTAGCGAGCGTCCTAGAAGGCGGGTCTGATATAGGTCCGAGAAGACAAGGTGAAGAACAGAAAGTTGGGATAATGAAGAAACGCGGTATTATTGGACTTGATGAAGTCTGGGGAGGGTGGAACCGTGCTCGAGGTGTTGGTTAGTATCTACTCCTACAATGCATCAACGGGACGAGAAAATAACTCATTAATTACTTCTTGTCATTTCTAGCACTTATATCCCCAGAAGTCATGCTCAAAACCCTCCCCTTCCTCCCTCACTACACAACCCCACCAATCACCACACGCATCCTCTCCTCAGGCCTTCGCGTCCTACACACTCCAGCATATTCAATACCAGCCTTCTCCACACGCCTCGTCGCCCAACTCGTAACATCCGGTCCACGCACAACTTCGCGAATCGCAGAGGACGAGGCACTGAGCGTTGGCTTAGTCGAAGAACTTGTAAGTGAGGTAGAGGAGAAGGGAGATATTTGTAGGGAAGATCCCTTGACGGTTATGGCTGTTGATGCTGAAAGTGGCGACGGTGGTGGTGGTGGGATGAGCGTTGGGATCGAGGTGAAGTGGTGGCCGAATGTGTTCGTTGGGTATGCCTGGGACGGGCAGGAGGAATAAGAATTTCCTTCCCATTCCCCTTATACCTGAGCGTCTATTTTTTGTTCTCTATGTTTGCATTAGAGTAATGTATCGTATAGCTTGGACATATATGTAGCTCTATCGTTCGTAATATTAAATCGTATGATACCCCCGTCGATTGTACAATCGTCGTGTACGTGGCTGCTGCTACACATCCTCCTTGTGTCTAAACAGTGCCACGAAGCACGACACCCGTTCATACAACTTGTCCGAAAACAGCCTTTGACTCGGACGCGTCTCGAAGATGGATGGTGGCATGAAAGCTGTAGGGACACGTATGTCCTATTTGAATTGCGCTTACTGTCAGGAGGGAATTGCAATACGCCATTCTCTTTGTACATCTTTCTCGTCTCGTAAGGAATTATATCCGGGATATTGGTGCCCTTGGATTAACATTGATATAGCTGACATGTCCATAGTATAATTCATATTCTCAGAAATATTGATGGTCATACTAATCATGTCTCACTGGTACTGGAAACGGGTCAAACAGTGCCATAGGGCTTCTAAGGCTTTTTTTCACAGGTTGTAACGATACTCTGATGCTTGCAGAGGTCTCCGAGTGCTCCGCCGGGACAGAGCCCACCAATACAGCTCAGACTTCACCATCAATATCCTGCAGATGTCTTTTCGTGTATAGGTAATTCAATGCGAGGTTTAATGGATACAGTGGTTAGCATGAGCACGATGAAAATGATGCATTAACAATATGGATTCCAATACATGTCTATCATGTAGAAACAAGTACTTCAGGTGCAATACGCTGCTCAACCGTCTTAAGCTTATCTGTCCAAGCCTTTAACCGATCTGCCAGTGCACTAATCTGCTCGCGGTCCAATACACGAGGTTGTACCCATGTAATATGTGCTGTTTGACTAATCTCGTCGAGCGAACCTCGAAGTAGTTTCAAACTATCCTAAACGTCAGCATTGTGCATAGAGTTTATAAGACCAAAGACAAAATACCTGAGGGCTTTCATCACCAAATGCTCAACATCGCCCACATCGAGTCGTGTTTCTTCAGCGATCGTCTGGAAGCTGATCGTCCGGTTGTCCCTATTCCTACGGAATACCGATTCAATGAGAGCCATTAGACATATCTTTTGGCGCAAGAACGGGTAATTTTGTTGTAAGATCGGCTCTTGGGGGAAGAGCGGCGCGAGAGCCTCGAATTTGCCAATGTCGCCTGCGTTAAAGGTGAAGAGTAATCTCTTGATCCACTCGTGGGGTGTTGAATCGAGTGATGAAAGGATTGGGTGCATCAACTTATAATAAAACGGAAAGTTAGTTTATATGCATTGGTCAACTGGGATTGCTGGGCACAGAAAATGACACACCAGCTCTCCAAAGTTGTATATCGTGTCTGCTAGTAAAGCGGCGATACTGAGGTTGTGGGCACGGAGCATTCTCTCCTCTTCTGATAGGTCCTTGGCAGGATCAATGCATGCAAGGTAAAGTAGAGAATTCTTGTAATAAGGAGCATAGTCTGCTTTCGCCTAATGATTTTGCTCAATAAATCTAGGTATTAAAGGGCGTCTGACAAGCTCACCTTATAGTAATCGGCGGCTACACTATAATATGCAGCGTTCACGACAGGATCAACACCATCCAGGTCATCCAGGATCTTCCATGCAGAATCCATGTCGGTCTGAGTACCATCAAGGTCACCATATAAAAGCTTCGCATGTGCAAGTGAGGAGAGAAGGAGGACATGGGCTTCGGGAGACTGTTCGGTGTTGATACGAGAAAGAAGTGAGGTAAGGAAACTCAGGTTCCTGGCAGGGTCTACAGACAGATATAACGGCAGAGATGTCGTTGGCACAGGTCATCTAGTACAAAATATTTATGACATGACTCACTGTCGATTTCTCTGGAGACGATGACACCCAATTCCACCAGCCTCAGCTGGTTCAGTCTCTCCTCAAAGTCTCGTACGAAGTTCTCAAAGAGGTCAACACGATAGGGCTTTGATAAGTCATTACGGAAAACCTCAAAAAGTTTCAACGATAGTTGATGCCAAAGTCTGGTGAGGACAATGTATCAGTCGGTGTAAAGACTCCTTGGTGTGAAGCATGCACTCACTTGCGATGGTATAATGTCTGAAGAGACTGCAATAACGGGTGTAATTCCTGTGGCGCCGACGAAAGCACTGTAGCAAGGTATTCATCGACGTTAATCTTTGGTTTGTCGACGGCCATGGCGGCTGAAGACGACATCTTGACGGTAAAATGTGTTTACCCCTAGGAAGGAAGAAACGAAGCTTAAAGTTGAGAGACGCGTAAGTATGTGAGTCGCGGTGACGCGTCGCTCTATTTGTATTTATTTTGCTGATCGACGTCAATGCCCCAAAAGGAAGTCACTAGTACTGGTTGTGGACCGCTGAATCCGCAACTACAGAATTAGCAATAAGTGCCCTTTAGACATATATTTCATCCAGTCATAGAATGCGTTTTTTTAACTGTCTCAAAGGTGAGGTCTCACATAAACGAGCGTATTATTCTCGTGCTAATAACGTCTAGACTATCAAATTCTTGTCTGATCCGTCACGTTCTTCGACATCCAAAACTTGCATCGATTAATCTCATCCGATGGTGTATCTTCCATCTCCGAAGCACTCATCGAGCTCGAATTCATCGGTTGGTTGAGAACCATCCGCGATCCGGTTGAGAATGGTAGCCACTCGGGCGAGTTGGCCAACCGTGAAGTCGATGCATCGCCAGAAGATATGAACGAAGTCCAGTATGAGATTGATTCTCTTGAGAGGGTAGCCTCGGTCTGATAATTCAGTGCTTGTTAACTTAGCTTGCACAGGATACAAACATCAAAATCACACTCACACTGTTGAATTGAGTGAATGTAAACCCTGCGTTTGAAGCCGATCTATATAATGGAAGAATAATTAAACGAAACCCAGTACGGTTGAACTTTTGAGCGCACGTTGTTCCTACGTTTGCAATTAGCAATTAGCACAGTCTATCAACGTACATTGTTTGTGAAGTTTTGCGTACCTGAAAACAAGTAGAAAAGGTCTGAGGTATGCATCACACCTTCCCATGGAGAAGCTGCAAGCAGGACAGGGTTTGGAGAGTTGAATCTATCAAGTGACAGTACCTACAGTTAGAAGAAATATACAATACCAGGTTGGATAGAAACAAATCCATTACCTAAATGTGAAAACATTATTTACACCTTCCTGCTGAAGGCGATCCGCGAGAAACCAGTCCCTACAAAGAAATGGCAATTGTATGAGGCATCTAAGGACGAGTGAAAGAACAATTTGTATAGAATTACATACATGCAAGCAAAAACGAGCTCTTGAAACATTGTTCCCGCACGATCATATTGCGTGTCATACGGACTACCAGACGTTCCTGGGGCTGGATAGAGCGCAAGTGCTTCCTGCTTTGTCTCATTCGACTATGGTCGATTATCGTTAGTCTACCCTCATTATCGTTCAACGCTTTCGATGTATGGGCTAGCTCACTACTTGTGCATTCCAAGAGCCAAATACAAGACGGATTACATCCGCATCTGTTTTGTAGTCGGCGGGAGTCCCAGGCAAGAACCAGCGTCCATCGTCTGTACAATGTCCACCTATGAAGTCAACCGTGCTGAAGTTTCCTGACCTTATGAGTGTACTTGGTAATTCCGGGAGAATGCTGCCAGGTCCGCCGATAGTTGGTACGACGCCTGGTCCCGAAACCGCATTGATAGCGGCTACGATGGCACCTGTTATTGCAAGTAATTTAATGCTACAGGCTATGACGATGAATATATGCGTGATGTAGGTAGCTAACTAACTGAAGCATTTCGAAGGCAAGACATAGCTTGCAGACCGGAACTGGGGCAACCGACTACTTCTGTGACAGTTTCTGTAATTGCAACATGAGTATAATGACATTCACACAGCGTGCGCGGTATAGCTTACTAAACGCGGCTTCGGCTTCGTCCGCTGAGAGTAAGGGATAACCGATTGACTGTCGAATTGCCCGCTTGAAAGGGACTGGCTTTGAACCTTTGGAAAAGTGTTTAGCAAAAGATTAACACTATTATGATTAGAAAAGCCAACTTCCATAAGCAACAGTTTGTATTACGACACTTGCACCACCAGCGCTCTCACCATCGATTGTCACCTCGTCTGGGTCGCCTCCGAAGCTTGCGATGTGACGCTGCACCCACTCTAGGGCGGCTCGCTGGTCAAGAAGCCCCGCATTCACATCTCCATATTCTTGTACCGAGCTTCCTGCAAGAAAGCCCAGGAGATTCAGGCGGTAGGCAATGGACACCCCGACGATCTTCGGATTGGATTGGTTGACCCAATCATACATAGGAAAGCCTTGAGGAGTCTAGACTACATCGTAAGCTAAGCTGTTGGTCAAATCTCTCAAGTTTACTTACACTATAGAGAAATCCGCCGCCCTGTAACTAATCCATTAGCAGAAAGATAAAAACAAGATATTGCTTGGATAACAAACGTGAATGTAGACAACAACAGGGAGTTTATCACTCTCCTTTGCATCGGCCGGTTTCCAAATATTGAGCAGCAAACAGTCTAAATAACAGTTACAGTGGCCTAATAGAATACTGCAAGAGCACAAAATGAAAAGTTACCTTCTTGTCCGATGCCAACCTGGCCTGGTTGCCGGATGCAGGGCGGACCCCAATTGCGGGCATCCGTGATAGAAACATCTCCACCATCGACAACTGTTTCATCCAGTGGAGCAGGGGCTCAGAAGCGCAAGTCTCCAAGTGGTGGTTGTGCATAAGGTATTCCACCAAAGAAAGTTACAGGGCCATTGGTCTGACCCGTTGGAGACGTGGTATTACCCACGAACGCAGCATACCCAAGATTAACTACAGGACCAAGAGACGAGTTGAGCTGAGGTAGAGCAAGAGCAATAGAAGAGACTACTGCCAGTATCGATGAGTATAGTAGATAGGCCATAGAGGGATCCATTCCGAGTGTTTACTTCGTTTTGCATACGTCGTTGAAGCTTCGAATTATAAGCAATCTGCTTGCTGGGGCTCAACAATGCCGATTTGACCGCTACTTAGAAGTTAACATTCCCCTCCCGCCGGGAATAGTTTCACGTTTGCACGTCGTACGAATCTGCGGACCGATGGATTGCATATTGTTGACTCGCCACGAAGCTAAAATGAGGCAAAGAATAACGGAAAAGGTCACATAACTGCGAGCATTGAATCCGAGAAATTCGGTCACAGACGCTCTCCACGTCTACAATTGCAATAACAGCATACCATCTATCACCAGATGTCTCCTCGCCAATCATTTGAACGGGGATATGTCTGCCAACTCATTGTGATAAGTTGTAGGAGACCATTTTGGTGTTGGCGGGAGTGAGCTGTTACGTAACTTACTGCAGACCTCACTTTTCGCATTCGAACGTAGAAAATATAGGTCATAAAAGTATTAAAGCAGAGGTCATTGCACTGAAAGCAAGAAGGTATAGCGAGATTTGAGGGAGCTTGTGAGAAACGTAATTGGGAACAAGATAGGATCGTCATACAAAATGATTAGTAGACGGGAAGTGTGATCCTAGCTTCGACCACACATCAGTGACGTCACAGGCAGACAGACTAGCGGCAAAATCATGTGGGAAATATGATTCTCAAAAAAACATTGAGTATGAAATTAATGTACAACTGACAACTCATACTGCATTGTGAAACTATAGTCTGACTGTACAAACATAGGGAGTGTGTATGGCCATTGGCCACTGCCTCAGTGATAACAGTCTCATCTCTGAAAGTGTCAATTTATTCAACAGAATGTATGTGTAATTTCATGCCTCACTTTCTATCGACTCCAGATGGACGAAACCGTCAGATATAAAAATGTCCACTAGTACGATGGTTTGGCTTTCCGTATGATACAAGCAGCTGGATAGTTATTTTGATTTTGAGGTGAGTGTATGCCCTTCGTCCAAAATAGGCTCAAAATTAGACTCCGCAAACCGCGACGGACGCGCGGTTGTCCCGGCTCAGGCGGCAGCGGCGAGGTCATCTTCAACACAGCAGGCAACAAACGTTTGCATCTTACCACCTGACGACATTCAACTCTTGCAATCACTTGATCGATATCAACGTAGCTGTAAGTCAAGCCTATCGAGCTGGCCGTCTGTACTCCTTAACGGAGTAAAATATTCACTATGGCATCCGAATCAGCAAGCCTAGGAAACCTTTAACTATTCATGCTGATGTGGACGCCTTTCCGAGCCTACGCCGGGCTGCGATGACAGGAAGAATACTTCGTGTAGCACTTTATAGCCCCAGAAATATCGAGCACTGAATGTTCAAGATAGACAGCGCCTTACTATGCACTTAGGCGTCTCTTCAAAGAGTTTGGCAGAGGCACAGCTTTCCTATTCACCAGTCCTTGATACCCTCTTGATTCCTAAACGACTCAGATACAGAACATTCAGAGCGTCCGATTAGTGATCGCAAGATCCATTCGACTATTACACTCGAAAACCGGGTTTTGCCCCTCGAAACGTCTGCTTGACCAGATTCGACTCACGCTTCTAACGAAAAAACTTGATAGAGGAATCTTGATATCCTACCTGAGTTTGTTAAAATATGGTTTTATTCGTACAGGCCACAATCACCATCTGTTCATCTTCATCGCGGCTCAGGTTAATCTGCATTAAAGAAGGTTCACCTAGCGACGGTTTATACTGGGCTTGCTGTGTTTGAGTGGATTGGCCGCTTCGTCGATGTTTTGCGCAGCAGGGCTCTCTCATCGCAGGTTACAATCTCGGCTTGTCCCAGCATTTGTTGTTGGGGTATCAGTGCTGTCTGACACTAGGCAGTTAATTGCGCTTCTTGCATGCCTACGTCCACGACTGATGTCATTTTACCGGCACTTTCAGGGCTTAGTGATTAATAAATATATGCCAGGTTGGCCAAAAACAGCAAGACCGCCACCGCCGTCAGCATGTGGTTTTCTTGCAATATTCACGCAGCTACGATAGCCACTTTGTCTTGATGAAAGGGAAGATCTATTTCACCACTATGCATGAATCGCAATGCCCATGTTTGTTCAAAGGGCAATGCCAAGTAGGCTTTTTTGCGAGCCCTGGCGACTTTGTACTTTCAAACGCGATGCTCGGAGGGATGACGGAACAATCGGCGAGGACCGTTGAAGCTGACGTGCTTTGTTAGAATCGTGGGGTCTATTACTAGCCTTTCTGGACAAGGCTGAAGGGAACATCCCAAGAAAATATCGCCCAGGCCCCGTCTAAACCTTCTTTTCATTTCCTTGTTTCCTTACCTTGTGTTAATGGACGAGCGGGCTTACCATACGGGACAAGAGGTTCTACTTCCCGAGATGGATGTTCGTACATCCTGATAAAATTGAGGTAAGCATATCTCTACGTGTCTGCACGAGGCTCGTAGGCGCAAGGGAGGCGCAAGAGCAATGAGGGCAATGGGTTCGATCTGGGAGCTTTGTACACGTGGTATCTTATCGCGTGGCTGATTGGACTAAAAGGGGCAGGTCAGGGTTGAATGTTTGGTCTGCGGAAAGACCGGTGCGAGCCGAGAGCATAGGTGATTGGCGGACTTATTACCTTTCATCCAATTTGGGCTGTCGTTTGAGCTGTTTTCGGATCAGTGGTTTGTTGACTTGAATGCACTAGCTTTCCTTCAAATATGGCGTGGTTCTCTAGCGTCTACGCATCGCCCGCCCTTCTTCCTCCCTCCGCACTCGAGAGCCACGAGTCTCGCTGTCCGAGCGTGTCACCCGCGAAACCCGAACTCCCTGGCGGATAGTTCTTCAAGATGATGGACCCGACCTACCCACTCTACCCAATCTGTACATTTATATGCTTCATCCTCGTCTTGATTCCCCTTCCATGGCATTTGCAGGCATGGAACGTTGGAACTTGTGCATACATGATCTGGACTGCCGCAGCTTGCCTCAACCAATTCGTGAACACTGTCGTCTGGAGGAACAATGCTATCAACTGGGCTCCTGTATGGTGTGATATCTGTGAGTAGTGTTCATATTTTAACAACGTCTTTGGAGTGTTTAATGTTCTTGGTGCAGCATCACGCCTTATAGTTGCTACTTCTGTTGCAATTCCGGCTGCGTCCCTCACCATTACGCGCCGTCTGTATAAAATTTCACGTGTGCAGACTGTTGTGTCTAGCCAAAAGGAGGTCAGTGTGGCTATATTTTACAAAGAACTTGAAATCTAATATGCCGATTTGTTCCAGAAACGTCGAGAAATGGCTATTGACCTGGGACTTTGCGTTGGCCTGCCAGTCCTCGTCATGATTTTGTGTAAGTCAAATGTCAACCATTAGTGATTTCGGAGGTCCGGAGTTTCTAATGTCAATTTTAGACTATTTCGTGCAAGGCCATCGGTTTGACATCTTTGAGCAAATTGGATGCTTCCCAGTTGCTGTCAATACAGCTCCGACATACGTCTTGGTCTGGATGTGGCCGTTGCTGTTGGGAGTGATCTCGATGGTTTACTGCACTCTTACAGTCTCAGCCTTCCTCAGACGCCGAAAGGAAATGAGTCAATTCCTCAACAGTAACGCGCAGATCACGTTCTCCCGTTACTTCCGTCTTATGGCTCTTGCGTTGATGGATACAGTGCTGACGGTACCGCTTGCTTCTTTTGCAATCTGGTTGAATGCAGTGCAGTCACCCATTTCCCCCTGGAGGGGCCTTGCGGATGTGCACTGGGGCTTCCATCGTGTTGAACAAATTCCCGCTATTCAATGGCGTTTGGATCACTGGGTCGTACTCTCGTTCGCCTTTGACCAGTGGTTCATCATCCTGTGCGCTGTCACATTCTTCGCGTTTTTCGGATTCGCAGAGGAGAGCCGCAAAAATTACGCGAAGATCTACTGGACTATCATGCGAAGATTTGGTTATCAGCCAAAGCCGAAGGCATCAACTTTCTCGAATTCATCTGCTGTGCGCACACCGCACTTGCCGATGATGTCTGCACAAGGTGGACTCAGAGTGCTTGTTAGCACTAATAAGAAGGTTGAGAAACGAGACTCCTTCCTTTCATCAATTGGAGACCTTTCGTCGTCGTTCACCGTTGATACCACCTACGACGACCGCAAAGACGGGAAATCACCCACGGAATCAACTTCATCAGACAGTCTTCCTGCATCGCCCGATGATATCGAGTTAGATGGCCTCCCCGTTTTACACAACAATTCTATAACGACTGAAGCTAGGACACCAACACCGACCCGACCACCTCGGTGCGCTTCCCTTGGCGACATTGTATAACGGACCCAATAGCGTTGTCTTTTTTTCGCTGCCTCTTCACTCCGCTCTGCTCCGTTTGCTTCATGTTACCCACTCCGGAAGGAAGGATCAGATTTTTATTATTTCATTATACTGTTGTTTTATCCGCTTATTTTCTTGCTTTTCATTTTCCCACACCGCGATCTCCGAACATCTGTATTACCAGCTGTGCTCGATGTCTGCTTACCACACAGTCCTTTAGTAATTTCTTCTTTTTTTTTGTAGCACTCAATCTTGTCTGTCGTGAACCCCATGTCATGTTTCTTCTCTTGTTTTGAAGTTGGAATGGAATAGAATGGGAATCAGTCCCAAAAAATTCGGACCTTTCATATTGATCGAAAATGAGACTTTCGCACTGGACAAATATTCGGACTGAATCTATTAAGCCAAGGCCACTTCATGGTTATGGAGGTCAGCATTCAATCCCGTGATCGAGTAATGGATGACGGGCCACGGTCATAAAAGCTAATACAAGAACAAATAGGCAAATTCCCCGCGCTTCGATTCAGAACCTCACCTATGTCCAATCTGTGGCACAGAAGTGACTGTGGAAATGTGGCCTTATCATCCAAAAGGGAATCTATCGCTTTGATAACCTACAAGTAACCCAAAAGCAACATCCCGTTCGAACTTCGTTCTTCATTCCTGTACACTCGTTAAGACATTCTTCGAATTTCGACATCTAGCAGAGCTAGAGCGATTCGGTGCTATGTTCAATATCATATACGCAACCATCTCGTTCCTTTCTTTCGGGCTCGTTCTTCTTATTTTCCCATGGTTCATTCGTTTTCGGAGTATCCCTGGACTATTCGCATGTGTCTGGCTCTTGGTAGTCAACTTCATTTTCGGACTGAATGCAGCTGCGTTCACTGGCGACGTACTTCTACGAGCTCCAGTGTATTGTGATGTTGGTGAGCGGCATGAATTTCCTTTAACCAGAGACAAAGAATCGTTGACTTTTTTGTTCGGATGAAAGTCACAAAGCTCCTTGTAGGTATGCAGATGGCGGTGCCGACTGCCATGCTCTGCTATACCTTCTCTATACACGACTGGTTGGTGCGACCGAAGTGGCGTGATTTGAACGACAAGTTCTTCGTGTTCAGGGAACGATTCCATGTTGCTCTGTGTATTCTGATGCCAATCATGTACATGGCCCTTCGTGAGTAGCACAACTCACCTCAATGCGACTTACAGACTCACCAAAAGTCACGGAACAAAGACGTTGCCGCACAGGACCATCGCTTTGACCTGGTTGAAGATCTCGGCTGCCTCCCCTCCACGGCAAACACCGCGTTAAGCTGGTTTATCATTTGGCAGGCTCCCATGGTTCCGTTCTGTATAATGGCCGTTTTCGGATGTAAGTCGTATACTATAGCCCAATGTGACATTCAGATTAACTGATCCATTCAACCGAAGTCTTTGCGCTCAAATATTCTTGGACGCACTATCGGAAGTACCGTGATCAGTATCTGACGACATGGGACATGGTCAACGCAGATCTGGAATTCACCAAAGCGCCTTTCCGAGTCTTTCGGATAATTCGTCTGTCTATTATGATCGCATTGGTCATGCTGTGGACCGTCAGCACTCCGTTCATTGCTTTCGTCATTCTGGCTCTCAGCAAGTCAATGCTCCTCTCTCAGAAGCCGGACTTGAGCCGCATAGACGTCTTCAGCTCGGTCAGTGCCGCATCTCCCAACACGAAGACAATGAGCATATTTCTGTGGTCGGGCCCATTCTACAGTGTGCTCTTGTTTGCCACAAGCGTTGACAGAGCCGTGTTCCTGTCATATCACTATTACTTCAGGAAGCACGTTCTGCGCGAACACGTAGGCCCAAGGCCTGACCCGAGCCCTGGAATCGATTTGTCAACGCTGAGTCCGGTTCCAGTGCGCAGACGACTGCATCGACGTGTAATAAGGGAGTCCCGCCAATACGACCCTCCCGTCTCATTCTTCGAGTACGATATCCCACTTCCTCCTCGTCCTGACCCAGGCTACCGCTCAACCACGATCCCTCCCCCAACACCGATGTCCAGTCTAACCATGGATGAACTTCAGGTACCAGAACCGGTATATGTTACAGACGGGAGTAGCCAGCGTAACCGTGGCCCTAGGCGAGGAAGTCGGGAATACGCCGAAGCTATAAATCGGCACGTCGAGGCAAACATGAAGTTCCCTATGCACCCCATTCCGGAGTCACCGTCGTCCTTTGGGAGCAGAGTGACCCCCACCTTGGAGGGCCATAGCACAACGGATCTACTCAACGATAAAACAATAACCAATCATGGCATAGTATAATATACGGCCATACGTGTCCTCTTTGCCGCTCGTTCTGTTCAGTCCCGTCGCACCCTTCGTTAGTGCACTCCATTCTTTTCGTCTCTTCTTTTTCATTGTTTCGATCTGCTGTACAATCCCAACTGTGTTTTCTCACAAGCGGGATTCGATCTGCATTGCATCAGTAGTGTTGGAAACGACTTGTCACTCGTTATCCGTTTAAAATATTACACTTACATTGATTTTGATGGGCACACTTCCGCGAGATACGGTAAAGCAGACAAGTTAAAAGAATGAAGAGACTGATACGTGACGACCATGGGCACGGAACAAGCGTGAGGATTCTACAGGATTAGTATAAGTGAGTATTAACGATATGGGAAGAGTTCTCTACTTATTCACCTCAACCTAGAAGATCATCCAGGAAATCTTCCATTTGCCCCTTTTCGCTCTTTGGAGGAGCAATATCCTCTGTAGGTAGAGGAGGGGCTTCCAATACTTTCTCTGTTGAGGATGCATTAAACAGATATAAGCACCAAGTTACCTCGCGAAGTACTATGGTTGCATTTACCTTTCTTTCTGTCGTTCGCGCGTGCGGGTAAACCACCACGAGCTTGTCTTCCCTTTTGCTTCTCTGTGTTTGCTTTAAATCTATTTTTCAGGTCTGTCAAGATTATATTATATTTGTTACGACTTCAAGCCGATATAAGCGCCTGCTTACCACGATTGGCGTCTGCAATTTCTTTCTCTCTCCGAATCTCTTCGAGTTCCTCAGTCCATTCAATTGATTGAATCTTTCCTTTGTGACTCCGCATTGCATCAGATGAGCTTGGTATTAGGTGAGCGAGAGATTCATCGACATCATCGTCTTCTGTATCCTTCTTGATCAAGAGTGTGCTTGAAGGCTCATCCGAATCGTCCAAACGCTGTCGTTCTAAGAAAGACGAAAGATCAACTTCTGGTTCTTGCTCTTCTTCTCCTAAACATATGTTAACTTTTTATCCTTACTATCATTCGTTGATATATTCCGTTCACTCACCGTCTGAGTTAAGGACTGGCTCTGGCTCTACATATCGATCTGCGTTACTGCCAAGTTGTCTCGTCGCATACTTTCTTGCTAACTCCCTGGCTTCTTCAGAGTCTGGTTCGAGCTCGACTACTTCCTCGTCCTCGAGTACGAGCCTCTTGTGAAATTCTGCTGGTCGTCCACCGCCACGCCCTCGACCTCGTGCTCGAAGGTATTTCCCTAATCCACCACGCGATTTGCCTCTTCCTCTTCCACCGCCTCGGGGCGATGGGTCAGTTGAAGTGCCGGCATCGCTGGAAGACATATTCGGGACGAGACAATATCTTTGCAATGTGAAGACTAGCAGAGTCAATTGAAAGCATGAGGAGGCACTCTTAAGTGAAATTAGGGAGGCTCGCTCGGTGTTCTCCGGCCCTAAACTGCACTAACAAGCACAGCTAAATACGGTATGACATCAATAATCTTTGCTTCCTCTCCACCGCGCCCATGCGAGAAATAATTTACATACAAGCTGGCAATACTGCCAATCACATTGGAACACATTTTTGGAATACACAAGAAAGCTATTTCACATACGATGACGATTCTGAGCCAATAGTCAATCACGACGTCTCGTTTCGAGAGGGACTATCTAATCAAGCAAGTCAGTTCTTCCACATTGATCTGCTGCAACCCTCATAGATTTCTTGACGCATAGAACGAGCCTACATTTTGTCCTAGAGCCTTGATAGTCGATTATAAATGTGAGGAGCAAACTCTCATGCTTCGGGTTCCAAATGAAAGCTTATGCATTCACAATAGCAAATTTTGGTCCGTTAAGCAAACACAACGAACTTTATCCTGATATTTTCGACGCGGACCAGCCTCATCAAAAAGGGCTCTGGTAAACTTTGTCGAGTGCTTTCTACTATACTGCGATTCTCACTGTTCCTATTCATAGGAATGGTGTGGTTTCAGAGTACCGGCAAGAAGTAATAAGTAAAAGCGACTATCAGAAGCGACTAGAGTCTGAAGATGATAACAATGACAACGACGACGATCTGGACGTTGCTAGGCCCCCTTCAAAAATGCGATACTGGTCAGACTTTAATCGGGTTTACTATCACCCAAGGTCCATCCAACAAGTATCGGACCTTCCAGACTGGCAAGCGAACAAGGGCGATTGGAACTATGGCAGAGACATCTTCCGAAGATTCGATTTGGTCAGCTCCTGAGCTGTATATCCTCTGATGTCTCAATGCTGATGAAATAAACCTGTAGGAGAATTCACTAAGTGATGGCTCTTTACGAAGACTTCTCGAAGAGAGCAATAACTTCCAAGGCTTTCAAATGACGTTTGACAACCTGTCGTTTGGTGGGTTCAGCATTGGGCTCCTCGAGGCTATAAGAGACGAACAACCGAAAATTCCCGTCCTGACGTTCCCATTGCTTTCTGGTGTGGATCCTTACGAGGTCGATCAAGAAGATGTTCGTATGACTTCGAGGCTCCTTGTTGTATCTGATTTGATTGCTTATTTCTGCTTTGAGTACTTCAGGCTCTCGTGCGCAAGTTGGTGCTCCAAGACGCTGTTTGCTTATGCTCGTTAGATGAGCTTGGAACACAAAACGTATCTATCCCTATGCCTACTTCCTGGCAGCTGGGCACATGGTCCGAACAGTTATCCTTTGATGTACGTCTCGGGAATATTGCTGCTCTGTGGTATATCACAATTCCTCGCTTTAGCGAAATAATCTGTATCAATCTACAGCCGTAATCTCTGCCCACATAGAAAGCTCAACGCTACCACTTCGGTGAGCACCGTGATATACTTGTGGAGTCTGTCACCATATCAGAACGAAAATCTCTTTCTTTGGTACACAGGTTGAAGAGCACGCACGAAGATCTCTCCGATTTTTGTAACCACCTAAACTGGTCACAAAATACGCGTTTTTCGCACCTTTCTGGAGTGTTACCTTTCAGGGATGGTATCAACCTTGACGAGGCAATGTATGACTTCTCAGCAGGGGGAAAGCATGCCAATCAATACTTGGTACAACGAAATGTTTCGCGCGGATTGACTATTGGGCAAGCTCGAAGCATAAATACCTATTTTGCCTCGAGTACTAGCTTAGAGGAACCCTGCCTCTCCAGGTACGTCCGACGCTTTCTTCGTCGAGCCTCAAGCAATTAATTGCACCACACCAGTATCCACGCTCCAGCATATCCACTCCCCTCCTCGTTTCCCAACATCTCCCTTCCAAGATCCACTCAATCAAACAACTCCAATCTCCCGAGCTCCACAAACAAGAGAGAACGGAACATCTCATTAATATCCTCCCTGCACACGACGACCTCGACTGCTGCTGTGCTACGAGGATACGCAGCTCTCTGTCGGGCCTGTATCGTAAGGCGATACAGTGGTACGGATGTAGCGGGCTTGGAGACAGACGAAGTACGCGAGATGGTGGAGAAACTCGAAGCGATAGCGGAGTCGTATGCTGCACAGAAGCATGAGGAAAGCGAGGAAGGTGATGATGATCTTGGAGAGGATGGAGCTGTTGAATGAGCCCATTATCTTTGTGATGAGATGCAATTTCAGGGATCTGTATTTCCAAAGCTAATTCTACGTTTATGTGATTTCAGTTCTTAAAATGAAAGAGAAGGTCGTAAATGAATGCATGTGGAAATTCGGGTGCTACAATCACTATTAGTACACGGGCAGTGCTCAATTCCGCTCCAGGAGAATAGAAGAAGGGATACAGTCAATCAAAACCATGGTAGATGAAGAGATTTTTCTGAGGCGAAGTGATAACCGGATATATGAAGTAAACCATGTTTCCGCAGGCGGAAAAGATCCTGTGAAAATGAACGAGTGAACGAATGCAAAAAGTGGACTGCCGGACCAAAGTAAATCAAGAGAAGGTATAAATCACGGATACAGGTAAGAGTGCAGATGAAGACATGTATGATAGAAAGTAATGAAGGCAATACACAAAGCAAATTGAAAGCTGGGGACTTAATGAGGTAACTACGCATACAACAGATCGACAGGATGCAAAACCAAATGTCCGTAACCGGTACAAGGGTGAATGTGAACATGGTCACAACAAATTCGCGAATCGACGTCAGGTGTGAAATATGTTTCGCAGTCCAGCGCGTAAAGAATAATTTTGATGCGTGTTGCAAGACAAAGAAGATGAGTGTGGAAAATAATGACGCCTCGTTGACAAGACTGGGCGTTTCAAATTATAGGACGTTGTGTCAGAGCCTGGGTAGAATACGGCTCAGATATGAGGTTCTACGCGAATTCGTTCCATATCAAGGTACGTTCGCTGATCTCGCGTTTTCCAGTAAGCAGTGACGACCGGATGATGAACTGCTTGGCGGCTCCCTCGTTGTTTGCTCGTCCGCCTCCCTCTGTAATGCTTGTTCAATCATCCGTTCCCGGCCTAACTCTGTCACATCTCGGTTGGACGCAAGAGTTGGCATAGGTAGAGTCAGTATATGCATCGGCACACCCCCTACGACATGCAGATCTCCATCGGCATATCGTGGAGGTCCTCCGATCGCCACGCTTTCGTACGCTGGCAGTTCCTCTTTGTCGTCTCCGTCCAAATCGTCAGAGTCTTGTCGGCCGCCGCGACGTCCGTACAAATCGGTATCCGCACCCCTGACCGCACGTCGACCACGTCGCTCAGTCATTCCTCTATTGAGTCCTCGAATGGAAGCAGAATGTGCGAGATGAGCGGGAGCAGGCTCAAGAGGCTCAGGATATCGTCCGTGGACAAGACTGGGAGGATAGAAGAGGGATGCCATAACAGGTGATGATTCGTTACTTAGAGTGCGCACGCGCGGAAGACCTGTCGTTCGAGGCAAGGAACGTCGTCGCTCTCTTGTGTCTAGAATTCTGTCTGTCGAACCGGATCGCTGGGTTCGACGTCGCGGTATGAAAGACCGCATGGACTGATTATTGCGTCTTATTTGAGCATACCTTTACACAAGGGTTGAGTAATATATAGAGAGTCTAACGAGTCATTGATAACTCACCTCCACGTAGTAACTGATGCGAGAGCGAGAAGTGTAGCAATTGCAAAGACCCACTCAAGCGCAGTCTATATGCATCATGTTACAGTGTACATTTTGTTTAAATAAAAAATATAAATAGGAGATCTATACTATACCTTCGTCACATTCGATTCCTCCCCTGAATCTGACCCAGAGGCGATGCTCCCACTCGTGAAGAATGGTGCGTCCGACGTCGACGTCGACGTCGCTGACACTGAACTGGTTTCGCCAGCAAGTACATGGGGATTCGCGGTCAACCCATCACCAGCATCAGCTCTGAGATTGATAGATACATCTGTAGCATGTTGCGTGGCAGTTTCTACGAAAACTGGCACGACATACATGGCAGTCGAAGAGAAACTGCACAGTGTGAGTGCGATGGTCAGTGGGTGAGAGGCAGACTATTTAATTATGTCATGTCACGTGCTCTATTACAGCACAACTTGTTCCGAATCTGCGTGGCAAAAAAACCTCATATTTAGTGCGTCTAATTATATCTAGAGCACTGGCGATAGGCCGATAGCAAGAAATCGTATAGATTTCTTGCAATGCAAATAGCTTACTGGTATACTGATTACTTCATAATCTACTCTATGTTATGAATGAGCACGTGCCAAGGATAGACTTTACATGATCGTGATAAAATATGCGCCGTCGACACCCCTGCATGGATTCGCTTCCATCAGACCCAAACGGGATATGGTACAATATAATTTCCTGTTGTTGACACAAACGAACTACCAGGTTACGTCTTATATTGGTATTTGGTCTCACGCTCGTATTGGTTATGTTACTTGAGACCAGCCACTACTAAGTGACTACTTACTATGAACTCAGAGAGCAAGGCCATCCAACGTGCCGAATTAGATCAAACACTTTCCGACCTCCAGCACCTCAATCTCACTGGATCCGTGCAATACGATAGCTCCAAGTGGCCCATCGCACGAGGTGGATTTGGCGATATTTACAAAGGCAATGTAACGCGGCAGGATGGTACTAATCTCCGCGTTGCGGTCAAATGCTTGAGGATTTACTTGGGTGACAATCGAAACGTTGCACGAGTGAGTAAAGCAAAAAAACCTTGGTTTCTGTACTGAGCCCTTACCGCTGTAGATTTTCAGACGCGAAATTATGGCTTGGAGCCGGCTCAAGCATCCTAACGTCCTTCCGCTCCTAGGATACGCGCTTGAAGAAACCAGCGATCACGTACTTCAGTTGCCTTCTCTTATCTCCGAATGGATGGAGAATGGCAATATACTAGACTTTGTCAAGAGCAACCCGAACTTTGATATCGTTAGGCTGGTACGTTCCTCAAACCTATCTCCTCATAGTTGCTTAATATTGCAAAATAGGCGCTCGGAATGGCAGAAGGTCTGGCCTATCTTCATGACAATAATGTTGTGCATTCGGACTTCAAATCAGTACGCTTCGTAAAATTCCTTAATGTACCATTCTGCTGAAGATGTGCAAGGGAAATGTACTCATCTCATCAACTGGAGAACCCGTCATAAGCGATTTCGGAGCCGCACATGTTGCTTTTGATCTTCTCTCGGGCGGGAAGTCTAGTACTGTCACAGACCTCCGAGGCACATCCAGATGGTTAGCGTATGAGCTCTTGGCGAACGCTGATCAGTATCCAGCTGCCACGAAAGAATCGGATACATGGGCATTCGGGATGACCTTATGCGTACGCATCCATTTCATTGCCGTTGATTGAGCAAGTATCAATTCTTTGCAGGAGCTTCTGACGAATGCGCATCCCTACGCTCAGTATCAGTATGATGTACAAGTCACACTTGCAATCATGAATCGTAAACTACCCTCTCCTCCTGAGGATACCGGTGATGGGTACAAGAGACAGTTATGGGACGTCTGTACTGATTGCTGGGACTGTGACCCAGCTCAACGTCCCTCAATGGCTGACGTTTCTTGTCGCATCAAGAATATTCCCATACCAGCGAACGCTGAAATTAGTCGCATTCGTCAGTCACAAACAGACTCGGATTCTCACCGAGTAAGCAAGGACGTCGCGGAGTTGTTACGCACTGAATTTCCACAACTCGAACTCTCGGGACGTCTTGACATAAGACATGAAGAGGACCCATGCAGAGTTGATGCGTTCGCTAGATATTTCAATGGCTTCCTCGGCAGTCAAAGAATTATTGTCAAGAAATTTAGAGTCCTTCCTTCAATCGTATGTATGCTCAATTATACTCGAATTCTGGAATACAACAACAATCTGATATTTAAATATGCAGTTGAATTCATTGTGTGAAAATATTATGGCTGAAGTACGAACGTGCACTTCAATAAAGGGCCACCCTCACGTTGAAACTCAGTTGGGCTATTTGTTCAATCCGGACGGTTCCCTCTCAGCCCTGGTTTACGAATACATTGGGAGCACAACATTGTCACAATATGTTAGAAGCACACCACAATGCAACATCGTGGAATTGGTTTGTAAATTCCTCCGTCCAGTTTAACATCAAATAATTGGTTTTATTTTCAGGTACTGGGAGTAGCTAGAGGACTTTCACACATCCACGCCCACAATTTTATGCATGGAGACGTCAAATCGGTTCGTGTCTTCTGCAGCAATATCATTATGAGAAAATCAATATCTCACTCAGGAGAATATTTTGGTTACTGCTAATGGATGCCCGGTTATTTCGGGGTTTAACTGTTCGGCATCGTTGCTCTGTGAAGATAACGCCATCTATACACTTGGTTCACCAAGGTGGATGCCACCCGAGGCAATCACTGAGACTGATGCTTGGACTGTCTCAAAGCCAAGAGACGTATGGGCTTTTGGTATGACCATCTACGTGTGTTCATTTATCGTGTTATTATCTGTGCGTGATAGTGCTGATGAGAACATATAAATAGGAACTGTTGTCTGGAAACATACCTTTTGGTAATTTTCGTGGAGACGGTCAAGCAATACTCCACATTCTCAAGGCAGAGCTCCCTTTACAACCGCCTTCGTATGATAAGTGGAAACACAGTCGGAAGATCCTCTGGTCTATTTGCCAGGCCTGTTGGAACAAAGATTCTGAGGCACGACCTGGCATGGATGATCTCGTCAAAGAACTGGAAGGGATTATTGCAATACAGAAATACATCGATAAATGAATTGTGTATTGAGGTATGTCTGGTTATGTACCTAAACGTTAGAATAGAAATAACTAATGCTCGTAATCCACAGAATTCGGACGTGTGTGACGCTGCATGTCTTTCGTAGGATATGTATTATCTGTACTTTTGTAGGAAACAACCAGGATGGAACTATAATATCATTTTTAGTCACGTTGGGAAAAAAGATTCGCTTGTTTTAATATTTATGCTCCCTACCTGGACATTGACAAATCCTGGAAATAGCTTGGGTGCACGATTTTTGTCTTTAGTTTCGCTTCGTCCGTGCCGTTCCCCCATACCTGCGCGATGCGCTGATCAATTGTGTACCTAGCTTGTGCATTCGAGTTAGCCGTTTTAGATTTGTATTAGTCCGTTTGTTTATAGAGAGTGTATTAGCATCGGTACATAAAAGGAGTCACTGTCCAAAAGCAGATTTAGGATCAGGTTCTATTCAGTCCGATGCTGTACACTGGTACTCATGTTGATCGTCGAACTTGACACCGCTTGCTGTGACTGTCGCATTCGATACCAGCCATCATCATGAGCTCTGATAGTCAGAGCAACTCTCATGCTGAAGTCGATCTAATACTTGCTGACCTCAAGCACCTCGATCTCACTGGATCCGTGTATTACGATACATCTAGATGGCCTGTTGCCCAAGGCGGATTCGGCGATATTTACAAGGGATGTTACAAGCAGCTAGATGGCACTGCGATCGATGTCGCTGTCAAACGCTTGAAGATTTATCTGGATGGCAGTCGAAACGTTACTACGGTGAGTTTATTATGAATCAATGTGCTTATGAATAACCATTTCGTTCGGTATTTACAGATCTTCAGGCGTGAGATAAGTGCATGGAGCAAGCCAAAGCATCCCAATGTCCTTCCATTACTAGGGTATACGCTCGAGGAAACTGGCGATCAACTACCTCGGTTGCCGTGCCTGGTATCCCCGTGAATGGAGAACGGCAACGTCCTGGAATTTGTCAATCGCAACCCATCTTGTGACGTTCCTACCTTGGTACGTCACCGGATGGACCCTTTTCTCTTTGTACTAGCTTAGAACAATATAACAGGTTCTCGGTATGGCAGACGGTCTTGCATATCTTCACGAAGAAGGCATAATACACTGCGATTTCAAATCAGTATGTTCACCCGGGACTGATTTGCCTTGGTTGACATTTACGTTAAAAAAAAGGCAAATGTCCTCGTCTCACCGGTCGGAGAAGCTGTAATAAACGACTTTGGAAGTGCGCATGGGTCTTTCAGCCAGCAATCGAGTACCTTTTCGGGGACTCGAGGTACTAGTAGGTGGCTAGCATATGAGCTCCTAATTACTGGTGAATCAGACCCAAAGCCAACAAAAGCGACCGATACCTGGGCATTTGGGATGACATTATATGTACGCTTCTCTTGTTGATGATCTGTTACTCCACTGACACAATTCGTAATACAGGAAATAATTACCAACAGCTTGCCTTTCTCTGAAATTGGACTAGACGTACACGTTATACTCGCGATCATGAAGCAGAAACTCCCCTCCCCTCCAGCAGCTCTGGGAAATGGATACAAGAAGCAGCTGTGGGACATCTGTTCACAATGCTGGAACTTTGAATCAGCTCAACGCCCTACAATGGCTGATCTTGCTCATCAAATCAAGAAGATTACTAGATTCTCCCACACTGAAATTTTTAGTTACATTAATAATGTCCAGCCGAACACCATTAGCTCGGATTGGCAGACCATTCAAAAAATTGAAATGAATCAAATACTTACTGGCCTTGCACGTTTTGATCTAACTGGATCTGTATACTTTGACAGCCAATATCCTACTTCATATGACAGAATTGGAGATATTTACAGAGGCTCTATGAGGTTGCAGGATGGCACCAGTGTCAGTGTTGCAATCAAACGATTGATGCACTTTTCTCAAGCTGACAGTGTACAAGTGAGTAAAGGAAGGACTCCTGTCTTCCATGCTAAGCTTTTCCCTTCTTTGTAGCTCTTCAAACGTGAAATTATGGCTTGGAGTAGGCTTAAGCACCCTAATGTTCTTCAATTTCGAGGATACATTCTTGAAGAAACTAGTGATTCCACACTTCGGCTACCTTCTTTTGTCTCTGAATGGATGGAGAATGGCACTGTGCTGGATTATATTAAGAAGAACCAGAATTGTAATACTGTAAATCTAGTATGTCTCTCAAACCTATCCCCTCACAGTTGCTTAATATTATCTAACAGGCACTCGGAATGGCAGAAGGTCTTGCATACATGCACCAAGAAGATATAATACACTGTGATTTTACATCAGTATGTTTTTACTAGAACCCATTTATTCTGTTAATATTAATATAGGTAAAAGGGAACTGTTCTTGTCTCATCAGCTGGAGAAGCTGTAATAATTTGTTCAAGTGTGCACCTGTATCATGAAAGATATAACAAGACTCCCACTGCTCTTAAGTGGTCTTTGGATACTCTAATATACAATTATTGCAGGACTACTGTTAGGAGAGGGTTTCAGAGCTCTGCCAGATGGTTAGCTTATGAACTCATCATTTCTGATGAACCCAACCCAACACAAACAAAGGCAACTGATATCTGGGCATTTGGAATGACACTATATGTATGCCCTTCTTACTCTGAATTTTGCCATTGTGCTGATACATATATTTAAATAGGAGCTACTATCTAGAAACATGCCATATGCTCATTTGCGCAGAGAGGCACAAGTAATACCTGCCATTATGCAAGGAGAACTTCCGCATCGACCAGCATCATTTAACGAATGGCCTCATAGTCGGAAGCTCCTCTGGGATATTTGCCAGAGCTGTTGGCATAAAGATCCGAAAGCACGACCTACCATGAATGACGTTGTCAAGCAATTGGAAAGCATAATTACTTTGCAACCAATGCTTGATAGACAGTCCTAATGTTATGGTACGTCCAGTTAGTCGCTGTAAATAATATCAAAGAAAAATGACATTTTAAGTTCTTTAGAACTGCAGGAACGTTTAACGGAATCGTTACTCAAGGTTCTGAAGTAGAAGTTGTGTACGAAAAGAGGGAATTGCGTTGCTGGGGTGGAAATGATATGAGTTCGGCGTATATAGCATATCATTGTACAATGCATTTTATGTACTGAATATCGATTCTTCTGCAACCGTACAAACTCTGTACTCCTTTTCCGTGTTTTTCTTCTGTTTTTTTCCCCCCGCAATGCGAGTCGAAAAGAAGGCTTGAGCGATCGGCATTGGTACTTGTTTTAGTAACTAGTAAACAGATACAAATACCTGTATTATGCGTCTTGTTTCTTGTGAGCGAAATTGAATACTTTACACGCACGCAACAACGACGAAGAGAAATGCGTCCGTCGCTCGCTGTACTGGGCGGTAGGTCAGCATGGAAAGGTAAGTTCTTAATTCTCTCATCTCCTAGAAGTATCTTGGATGTATGATATTGACTTCAGTTGCACTTCGTCAGGACCATACTTCGTGTCGTTCCCTAACTTGCGCGATGCGCTGAACAACCGTGTACCTATCCAAACGGACGCTCGTGCTTGTACAATTTTGCCTAATTTCGTGGGGTGTGTACTGCTTCTTCACTGTTGCGAAAAGGAACGAAATGAGAGAATTGAGGTGGGCTGACGGATTGATGATTGTGTAGGATACGATTCATGGTGCACAACGGGAAGACGTATGTGCCCGTCAACGTGACGCAGGATATGGTGGGGCATAAGTTGGGCGAGTTTGCGCCGACGAAGAAGAGGTTTGTTTATCGGTACGTATTTTATTAATCTTTACCTTGAATATTTTTTACTCTGCCAGTTTTGGTACCTGGTCATGTTTGGAACCGTTCGCTGATATGGTATTTTCTATAGGCAAACCAAAAACAAGTAACCTAGATCATTACAGGGATGCATTAATTCTGGCGTATATTTACGTGGACAAATATTGGTGCCATATAATGATATTATATATTCGCTACCATGAGGTTCTCAGCAGCATCACCTCTACGACTTCGCTTACTCCTCGCCTCGTAACCAGCTGTGTACCGAACATCTCTGCCACTCTTATCCTTCAATGTAGTACACGTTCCCGCCCTCTTGTCCGTCGTCTCTGAGTTTGGCCAAGAAGGTTTGATGGAAATAATAATTAAAAGAGCACTGGCCCATGGCAGAGCATCCTTGTCTTGGCAGTGTATTTCGATGTAATTTCCTTATACTTCTCCGGCCACTGCTAGTAGACAACAAGTGGCTACATCCAGAGTGTTGATTAATAAATGCATTGTGTTAATGTAAACTGATTGGATGAGAGACCTTGTTTTTGTAATTGAGGCGGGTCACGTTTCCAGCCAGGCGTTGCGGTAGTGCTTGGTGGACGCGGGACTTGTAGAGCGCTATTTTCCGTCAGCCATCTCCCCATCGTCAACGACGTCCACCACAGTCTCTCGCTCACCCAGCCACTTTCTGAGGCCACTTTCCCACACGACGTTGCTGCCGACGCCGACGTTGATTAGCATACATCCACCGTGCCGTGAGCGTGACCACACCAGAGGCCTCCGTCAAGCGTCGCCATTGCTGTTCCTCTCCATCGTCTCCTGAACACGGACCATCATCACGAAGTCCAATAGCCGTGTTCTGCCCTAACATCCACGCCGTGCCGTTGTGACGATAGCCGATCGCCGCTTGATTCACTGTACATAATCAACAACGATGGCCTTTCACCAGGTAACAGCGACATCGCTCACTCCATCCCGACCCGCCCCCCAGGCGCCCCAGCGCCGCGACACAGATCAGCAGTCGTACGCCAGCACGAGTACGCTCGTGTCAGTTGGCTACAAGACGTCCTTCCAATTCAACCAGCCCTCGGGCTCAGGCTCGTCCTACGCCACGTCCTACTCTGGTATCGGGGCATCTCCTATTCGCCAAAGCGGCCCGCCAATGAATAGCGAGATCGTCCGCACGGGCTGGGCAAGCGTCAAGGAGGATGCTTTTGCGAGTCTATTCTGGGTGCGCAAGTATCTCATCCTGAAGGAACATGCTCTTTCATTCCACAAGAACGAGGTACGCGACAATCAGTTTCATTCCCTTTATCTTGACCCGTCCTGATCTCCGTGTACTCCGCACATAGTCTGCGCAACAGCAAAGCGTGATCAAACTTGGGGATGTCACGAATGTCGAGCGTGTTGATCTCAAGCCATACTGCCTTGTTATCGAGACGCCGGAAAAGCGCGTATACTTATCACTCAAAAACGACGAGGAGGTCTATACATGGCAGGACGATATTTACTCGCGTAGTCCGCTTCAAAGCGTCGGCCAACCGACGAATTTTGTACACAAAGTGCATGTTGGCTTTGACCCGGTCTCAGGAGGCTTCACCGTAAGTCCATACCTCGGTACTAATTTTCATACGATTTATTAACCATTTTCCGTCTCCAGGGACTGCCCGAACAATGGAGCAAGCTCTTAACGCGATCGGCTATCACACGCGAAGATTATGCAAAGGACCCTCAAGCCGTATTGGAAGTTCTCGAATTCTACACAGATCGTCAGAAGCATGAGATGGATGAGATGGCGGGTCTTGCACCGGGGATGTCGCGCAACGCCTCTGCTCCTACTTCTGGGTCCACATTACATCCGTACTCTGAAACACCATCAGCTCCGCGGTTCAACGCGGGCACTGGGCTTGCAGGGTCAAACAAGCCCGGTCCGGTTCAGGGATTCTCTTCCGATCGGCCAGGGATATCGCGTCAGGACTCGGCTCCGTCAGGACTTAACGGAAAGTCGTCTACGGCTATAGCTGCAGCTCGTGCAGCAGAAATTGTCAATGGAGCCCATGCTCAACATGCGAATACTATTGGTACTGGGACTCAGCCACGCTCTCCGCTACCGCTTGCGCCGGGTGCGCTTCAAGCATCGCGGCCAGCGCCCCCTGCTCCTCAGAGACCTTTGCTCACAGCTCAACGCCCTGCGCCTCAGGCTCCGAAGCCGGACCAAACACCCAGTAATCAGGACCTGCGTCAGCGTACGAAAGCACAAGGACCCCCGCAAGATCGTACCGAAATACGACCTCCTGGGCTTGACCATGAGCTACCGCAACGTAAAGATTCTATGCCACGCGAACAAGATCGCGATGACAGGCGTCCTCAGCTGCCGCCGTCCAAATCTTCACCTGCAACTTCCTCGCCCATGTCACAACCTGTACCAGGAGCAGCTGGTGCGACCGCAGGTCCTCCGCCTGTGAAGCCATTACAAACAACTAAGAAGCTCCCGAAGGAGCAACCTGCTGCTGTTACTATCACAGCACCTCCAGATGAACCCGCAAACGGGAGCATCGCGGCTGCCGCTGCGGCTCTGGAAAAGCCGAAGGAAAAGGAACGGCGAATCAGCACGATGTCAGAAGCTCAGATTATGGACAAGCTTCGCACCGTCGTGAGCCAGGACGACCCGAAGGTGATTTACAGCAAGATTAAAAAGATCGGGCAAGGGTGCGCATTTCACTTGATTTTCAAGATTGGTTATCGCTACGTGTTAAATGGTCACATTTTCACAGTGCCTCTGGACATGTCTATGTTGCAAAGACACTCGCCACGAGTAAGAAGGTCGCGATCAAGGAGATGGACCTATCACGTCAGCCGCGTATTGAGCTTATCGTAAACGAAATTCTTGTCATGAAGGAGTCGCAACACCCGAACATCGTCAACTTCCTAGAAAGCTACCTCGTGCGAAATAATGAACTTTGGGTCGTTATGGAGTATATGGAAGGAGGTGCTCTCACGGATATCATTGAGAATAATACGCTCGAGGAGGAACAGATTTCGAGCATCTGTTTGGAGGTGAATCCTCGTTCTTCTCCCCGATCTGTGATTGATAGAAGCTGAATACTGACAATGTGCTTCCTGAAACGCATAGACGTGCAAGGGTCTAAGACACTTGCACGAGCAGCACATCATTCATCGAGATATCAAATCGGACAACGTCCTTCTTGATGCGCAAGGACGCGTAAAAATAAGTACGTAGCCTTCCGCTTCCGTCGTCTCTCTCATCCACATCAAACTTACTATTTATTTCCCCTCTCTTCTATCTTTGTTTCATATAGCCGACTTCGGCTTCTGCGCAAAACTGACTGATCAGAAGTCTAAGCGTGCGACGATGGTAGGGACACCGTACTGGATGGCACCAGAGGTCGTCAAGCAGAAGGAGTATGGTGCGAAGGTGGATATTTGGTCCCTTGGGATCATGGCGATCGAGATGATTGAAAATGAGCCGCCGTACCTTGACGAGGAGCCGCTTAAGGCTCTATACCTTATTGCTACGAACGGAACGCCGACGCTGAAGAAGCCCGATGCGCTAAGTCGGGAGTTGAAGAGCTTCTTGAGCGTGTGTCTTTGTGTGGATGTGAAGAGCCGTGCGTCGGCGAATGAATTACTTGAGGTGGGTCCTTCCTCTTTGTCCATTCTCTTAATTCCGCGAATAGTTACTAATTTCCGTCCTCTCTTCTACGCAGCACGAGTTTATGAAGAAAGCATGCCCAGCTTCGGGACTGTCACCATTACTACTCTTCAAGAGTAGGCCAGCAAACTAGATCCTGCCTTGTACTTTCCCGCACTTTGCAGAATCGCATTTGTTTCAACTAAACTTCTTTAAACCAATGCGTGTTCCGTCCTGTCAGCGTAGGCTTTCCGATTCTCCAAATTTTAGGGCCTGTCTAGTTTTCGTTTTGCTCGCCGGTCACACTCCGTCCTCTCGCGCACGCAAATGGATATTTTCTTCCTCGCTCTACCCCACCCCCCCCCCGCTCGTAATTCCTCTCCCAACGCCTCGACCCCGCTTTCGGTCGTCCACGCCAATTAATGATCTCTTTGACTCTTTTCCCGTTCTATCTTCTGTCCTGTTCCTTTCCTTTCCTTTCCTTTCCTTTTTTCCCCACGTCTTTCCAACGTCCAACCAACCGAACTTTATTAGCTTCGCGTGTACATACCTCCCTTGTTCAATGTCCTACCGTTTTTTTGTTGCTTGCAGAGTACGATATAAAAGTGATTGTTGTGAGTATGAAAATTTATCCGTCTTTTCTCTCCTTTCTCATCGTGTTACTCTTTTTCTCATTTTCTCTCTGCTTTTTTCTTCTTTTTCTTCTACTTTTTTACTGAGTCTGATTTAGCTGCTTGTAATGCTACAATGCTACGACCCGGAGTCTCTTTTTCACTTCAAGTCGCACTTTGAGATGGAGTGCTTGTTTTGTGGTCTCGGTTAGACATGAATATGACTATATATGTGAGTATATGCAGTGTTTGATTTGACAAGGGTGGGGATAAAGTCATTGTACCATGTCCGTTACCAGTAGCTTCTCTCATTCATTTACCTCAACACTATATAGTTCAAACACAAGTCAAGAGCATTTCAGCTGACTGTAGTTCAAGCTTCTATGTTTTCTATCTAACTATGAGGGCCAAACAGATTCTGTTTTACTAACATGGTGCACAAAAATGGAATTGTAAGGATTGTGAGGGACTGAGGGCTATGCAAACTGTAGAATACATAAATTTACAAGAAATGACAATTGAACCTAGTAGACTGAATGAGTGAAATAAATACTGTGGCTCCCTTGCATACTATCAATGGCTAAATCTAAACTGTGCTCTGAATTGCTCAGAAAGGGCAACTAGAGGTACACAGATCTCATAATCTACAAAAACAGTATACTTGAGTAAAAACGTACTGTATATTGTTTATCCAAAGTTGGGCATAAACTACTATTTGGAAATGACTGTGCTTTCATTCTCCAAGCGCTCTCCGTCTTCTACAAGTTCAGAGTTTTCACCTGTGTAAGCATGGAATTCCTCGAGGTTCAGATTTGCTGAGGCTCGGAAGCCATCACTACACTCGAATCTTTCTCTTGCCGCTTTTGTTAGATGTAGCAGCATGTAACTTCCAAGAGGAGAAAGTATACTGGAACTGCAAATGACAGAAAAGATCATTAGGAATGTAGGCTGTCCTGTCACAACGTCTAGGACAATATTTGCAATGCTGCAAATAATGACCCTGTGGGACTGTTGGTATGCAAACTTCTCAAGGATCACTACACTTACAGCAGAAAGTACATGGCTTGATTGTAAACAAGTGTCTTCAGCAGGCTTAATCCACAAAAGCCTACGTCAGGAAAAAGTCAAAATCTATATATAATCTTATAGTTATTATAAAGTGCAATATGTTTAATACATAGAATATATAGTAATTATCTGTATTTAACTCTATTATAAGGTAAAAATCAGTCTTATATGTTCTTATAAAGGCTCTATCAGTATTATTCATTAATATAATATGGTAAATATATTTTAATAGTCTTATATAAAGAGTAAAAGTATTATAATAGTATTATATTTGAAGAGAAAGACTTATATCTATTATATAATATAATAATAAGACATTTTCTATACTTATAAACTGTATGAAAGTTTTATAAATGTTTATAATAAGTAGGAGTTCTTTTTGTAAGATTACAAGCTTAATAAATATCTTAATTATCATTATAATGATTATTTTTCATAAAGGAACTATCAGTAAATACGACTCAACTTATGTAATGCTCGAGTATCACATGAAATTTTGTACTTAAAACATTTATGACGCACGTCGCATTTCACTCCTTGCCTCTGACCCCCATCTCCCGTATCTCTCTGCCCTGCCACTATGTCGTCGCTTTTGTTCTCTCCACTCTCTAGTTCAGTCGACTCACTCACAGTTCGTCC